CTGCAGATTTTACCAGTTCGATTCTGAGAATGAATTTTATAAAATGCACACAAACCATATATGTCAAAGATCATGAACTTATAAAATATAGTAAATCTGTGTAGCTATGTAAGTGGTTACAGCATATAGAACTGATTGAATTTGAAATTTGTATTAGAAATTGGCTTGTAATAAGCAAGTATCATATCATCTGTAAGGGGATCATCCTTGATAATAAGACATGATAGATCAATGGTAGATATTGTGTAATTTAAATTAAACAAGAGTTGTAAATTACAGGTAACTCTAGTTGAAGCGCTGTAGTATCTATAAGTTAATTAGGATTTTAAGATCTAAGTTCAATTCTCAGGTTGATTTTGACAGTCTGGATATATAACTATATTAGACAGCTATTCTAAATTAGGTTAGTAAAGACTTCTCTTTCTAGTAATTAATCAGAACTAATTATACTGATAGTATCAGAAATAAGCCATACAGCATTTGGAATGTATAGCTTATTATGAAGGCTAGTGATTCAGCAGGTTAGACCAACTTGAAAAATAGCAAGAAAGGGGTTTATTTCTGAGTACAATAAATATATTGGATTAATTGAGCCTAATAGTTAGGATATTTCAGATAACTGATCACTAAAACTAATAAAAAAAATAACAAATTAAACCCTCATTAAATAAAAATAAATATGTATAAATGTGAGAATAGTTTTAAAGCAATACTATATAATTAATTAATATTATATTAATTACAATATATTTAACTTTTTAAACTTCTATAATATTAGCAAGATTAATATTGCTAATAAGATTTTAAAATGCAATTAATGCAATTTGATATTTATTTGTGCAATTTTCAATAATAATAACTTTTAAATAAAATCAAAATAAAATCTATATTATTAAAAGAAGTTGAATTTGCAAAATATTTAAAATAAATTTTAATTTAAACCTTCTAGATAGAAAATTTTTATCAAAATATTCTCAAAATTTTAACTAATTTTAAAAAGACATAAATAGTTGAGAATAAAAAAATAATAAAAGATAAGTTAACTAAATAACCTCAATATTCTACTTTTTAAAGTTCACAATTTAATATTTTTATATTTATTAAAATACTTTAATAGAATTGAATAAGAATTGACATATTTGTGAATAATAATGATGATAAATTCTACATATTGAGTAGAAGACATTCTAATATTAAATTTTTAAAACAAAAAAAAATTTTAAATTTAATTAATAATAATGAACTATCAATCTAAATTAATTATAAATATGAAATATAAAGTCAAAATTAATAAATAAAAATGAATTTATAAAGATAATAATAGAGGTAATAATTTTTATAGCTTATATTATATATAGATAACTTGCATTTATATTTTTAGTACAATGATTATTACATTTTAGTTTAATAACCCTAAACTCTCTTTTAGAGAAAATTATATATATAATTTTATTATTTTTTAAATAGATTTATTTAATAACTCTAATTTAATTCTAATTCTAACTCTAATTCTAATTAATTCTAATTCTAATTTAAATTACTCTAATTCTTATTTTAAAAGTAAAATATTTAATCTAATATCTTTTAATTAGATAAAAAATATTCTTCAAATATGATTTAACCTCAAAAAATTTATACATAATAAATTAAATTTTAATTCATAAATACTTTTAAATAATATATTATGGTATATAAAAATCTTTTTGAAATTTAGTAAAATTAGAAACTAAATAAATACATTAGATTTTTTTATATTCAAAATTATGTGAAAAATACAATATAAATATCTTGTAATTAGTAAAACAGTTTAATAGCAAGTTCTAATTCAGTATAAAATTATTTTGATATTAAATTGTTTAATGTTATTAAAAAATTATTAAGAACCTATATATTATATATAATAATAGTATTTCATCAAATATTAATGCTTAAACTATCAATTTTAAATAGTGATATTTATTCATTTATAAACAAATATAATAATATATGATATTTATTAATTTGTGTAGTATTATCTGTTAAAATAATATTATGATAATTTAAATAAAGAGTTTGTTGATAAGGTAATATCTAAAATAAATAAAAAAAAAATCAATTTTATATAATGATAAAATATAAATAAACTAAATAGGATCATTTTTCTTCTTTATTTAAAAAGATTAAAAAATTCACCTTAAAAAAGTTACCTTAATATACTATATGTTGATTAATACTATAAATTGTATTTATATAAAATTTAATTTTATCTATAATAATTATTGATAAATATTTACAAATTAAATTATTTTAGAATTAAGCAAATAACTATAATATAAGATTTATCTTAGAAATAAATAGTTTTTGTGATTTAATTAGCTAACATATATTGATAAAATAAGTATAACCAGTTTTAATTGATTCTTTTAGATTATTTTAAAAAAGTAATTGAAGTTTTTTTAGATTTAAATATTTTCACATATTTACACTCAAATATATAATTATATACACTTTTATTTTTATTCAAATATTTATTTTGAATTTGCTATATAAAACCAGTTTATTTCTTATAAACTAATAATACTAAATTTGTATGCTTTTAATTTTCAAATTGTATTTCAACATATAATTTAGAAGTTTGATCAAAGATACCATCAGATATAATTAATTTTCAAGTAAAAGTTCTTTGAAATTTTATCATAAGATGGCATTTAGTAGACAAATGATACTTTAAAAGAATTATTATTAGAATATTATAATTATCATATTTGTATAAATAAACAAAAAAATTAATATTAATATAACCCAATATTAAATAACAAAATCAAGAAGAATAATCAATTTTATTACCAAATTTTTCTGAAGGCAAATAAGTAGAAAAAGAGTGTGTCATTAATATTGTAAGAAAAATTTACAAAATAATTGATGTAATGTCAAATAATTGATATCAAAAAGTTTAATAATAGTTTATACAGATCACTATATTACCAATTACATTATAAAATAATATTTAAATAAAATCATTAGGAATGTTCCTAACAAAAACTCTTAGTTTTAATAAATATAATTAACTTTTTATATAATTATGTTTTTTAAACTAAAAAAAACTTAATGATTATAAAAAATTTATAATATGAAAAATATTTATTAAGTTTATTAGTAATAACCTAATAAAATATATTTTAAAAGTAATAATTATAAAAAAAATATTATATAGAAAATTAATGATTATAAATAAAAATATAATTTCTAATTTTTTTTTTTAATTATGAAATATATTACAAAATTTGTTAAATAATAACTTTTATATACAAAATTTTAATTTATTAATAAATTTTTATTGATAAAGAAAAGTTTAATTAACACAATTTTTGTGAGTTATAGTTAAATATGAATTTATTTTTTAATAAAAGTAAAAAATTTTTTTTTTTTGTAAGAGTTATTTTTATTTTATTATTGTAAGTAATATTTTATAATTTTATTTATTGATTTAGGATTATCTCTATTAGAAGATTTTTGTAAATTATTTATATAAAATAATATTTACAGCTACTACAGTAATTTATACCAATAGATCCGCGATATTAACATTGTAAACCGGTGGATTTTCCGAATATCTTTTAAATTAGTTAAATCTTTTTTTGTATTAGTCTAGTGAATAAAACTTTATTCGGATTTGGCAAAACTAGTTTTCGTCAAGTTTCGTAATTAGCATCTTCCAATAAAATCGAAAGTATTTTGTTACACGTTATTAAGATACATGTAAGATGATTTTGAAACTTGGAGCATGTTCTTCAACAATCTACAAACATTAAAATTATCCATAATATGGAATTTCGTGAATGGATCGAATTAAATGAATTAATTTTCACAATGAACATTAGAAGAAGTTAGGTTAGTCAAAAAAATCACGAGTTCTTAATCAAAATTACCTTAAAAGTAACTTCGGAAATCTAAATACAGATGAAACAAAGTAATCATGAAATCATTATTTTTAAAAGACGAATGATATTAAAAAAACAACTCGAAGATCTAATTATTTGCAGTGACTAACGAGATTTTTTAAAATAATGTTAATGCAGAACGTGTTTCACAAAAGATTTTAATATGCATTAGTCACATGTTATGCTTAACATTACCCCCATGTATCAGCCACTTTTTTTTTTAAAAAAAAAAATCTGTTTAATGCAATTGTCGGATGATGCGAATCTAATAATAATTTTTGATGTAAAAACAATGGGTTGTGCCTAATAAGGTTTATTCCTAATAAGGCAAATAAACATATAAAATTGTTAGACATTTTAGGTTTATTCAGTAAATTGAAATTATATTTCATTGAGGAAACAAATGAGGAGGAAATGATTTAATTTCGATCATGGCTACTTTGTTTTCCAAAATCAGAGCCGAGCCACACCTTAGACAATCCGACCGATTTGAAAAAAAAGCTCGCCTCTCCAGCGTTAAAAACATAATAATAAACTTTTTTGCTTTGTACTTTGTAAAAATATTTTATTGTTTCAAATCCTTTGTTCGATTTGCCAAATTATAAGAATTGTACTATAATTGGATATAAATATTAAAGTAAAAGGAGTTATTATTTTTCAAACACATAATTAGGGAACAAATTTAAAAACCAATTACGAAATGAGCGACCCGATTATTCGCCCGAAGATGTACAATGAAGTTCATTGCAACACAACTTCATGATAATAATTCGTTAATAAGAACGAGACTTTCCTTCGATGGTTTTTTTTTTTTTCATCTTCAATAGTTAGGCTTTGATAGCCTATCCTTCAAATTCAAAAAAATTTTGCTCAATTTATAGCTTGCATTTTTTCCCTTACATTCCTTTATTATTTTTATTTTTATTTTTATTTTTTATTTTTTTTTATTTTTTTTATTTATTTTTTTTTTTTTACATACATATACATATACATATACGTAGATATATATATATAGAAAAAAATATATATATATATATATACACCTTATTTTTTCCCCTCCACTTTGCAAGTTCATTAAAAATGGCACGGTTTTATAATGCTCTAAGGTTGATCCTTTGGGCTTTCTTTGTTTTCGTTATATGTAAGTCTTCTCGATATAATATATCAAATATTCTCCTTCGATTATAAGTTATTAACCTAATTAATCTTCGTTATTAAAAGTATCTGCGCAGAGCGCAGCACAAGATGTAGACGCACTCGCAACAAAGTCTCCAACGAAAACAGCGATAGTTACAGTCACAGAAACCTCTCTGCCGTCCAAACCAACTCCAGATACAGAAACTCCCACACCAATTCTAGAAGATGACCAATCTTCTACGACAACTCCTCCTCCTCAAGTTCCTGCTAAGGATAGTGATGATGCACTTCCTGGTTCAACTCTCGTTGTAAACAATGTTGGACCTATTGTTGCCGCTGTAACTGTTGTGTTTTTGCTACTAGCTATTCTTATCGCTACATTCTTTTTCACAAGAAGAAAAAAACAAGTTATAAATAATATAACTGTAAATGAAGCTCCTAATTCAAATAACGTTTAAAAACTGTTGCGTGTAAAGGACAGTTTGGCTAGCCGTTGCACGCCCACAATACCTTTTATTTTTAAGTGGATAAAAGCGAAAAAAGTTCAGTTGATCGGTAATTTTTTCGCGGGATAAATTAAAAAAAACAATTCAATAATAATAATAATTCTTTGGCGTTGGACTTGATGTTTAACAATTTTTTCTTCATAGCAATGTAAATTATTAATTTAATAAATACATAAAAAATAATAAAAATAATTCCACTGTTTCCATAGCGAAGAAATTTCATTGAAAGATAATTTTCACGTGACTTTGACTGGATTAAACTAGATTCATTGTGATATAGTACAGTCGATCAAAATGATCCCATTCTATTTTAATTTACCACACCATCTCATATGAATATAGACGGGTTATGCTAATTTTGTAGGATTTCTTAGCGTTCAATGTTACATTTATTCTAAAAACAAAATTTTTTATGTACAAACTATAGACTTCAAAAGTAAATTTGAACGAAATCATCAGTTCCTCATTTTTAAAGATTACGATTTACCGTTTATGGTACCCCCTTTGCAAAATATTCCCTTTGAATAGGTAATGGTTAATGTGCTTAAGCATTTCATTTGATATTTTAGAAGGGCCTGGTGCTTTACCGCCTGAGAGGGATTTAATAACGGAATACCATTCTTGGCAGAAGGAGGTGACATCAAGTTAGCGTAAATGGAGGAATTAATTTCAGCAATCACGAATGTCTTGAAAAGAATCTTCTAATCCATGAATAAATGCCCCATTCGCACTTGATTTCAAAAGTCGAACTTCGGCTGATTCGACATCGATATCACCCTCAGGAGTTGGAATATACCTTAATATTCAATAATATTTTTGATTAATACCGGGGTACCATTTAAATTAATCAATATGTCGATCAAATGTACCGCCTGTATCGATAGGCAAAACCAATAACCGATAAAATTGTAGCTATAATTGAGCACAATTTTTTTTCTTGTTTTTATTGGCTTTTAATTGAACCGTAAAAGAACGAACACGTAATGTGTTATGGTTACAACTTTTAGGAGCTGAATTTGAAGATGAAGAAGTATCTTCAAGTGAAGAAGAAGACAATATAATTTTACAAACTGTTTTAATACAAAAGTCAATCACATGATATTTAAAATCCCGGATATATCATGTAGCCAAATCAAAATACTGGTGGCAAAATATTCTTCCACTTTATGATCCTACTCAATTCAAAAACTTTTGCAAATGTTTCCACACCATTTTCAACAATTAGCTAACCTTATATGCCCTCATCCTGTATTTTGTCTCAAGAAAATAAGTCTCAAATTTGTGTTGAATTACAATTAGCTGTAATTCTTTATCAACCTGGTTCGACTGGAAGTTTGTTTGAAGTTTGTTCATGATTTGGAATAGGAGAAGGAACAGTAATTATTTAATTATAACATAAAAAAACTTTTGTTAAATGGTCTACTTTGGAAAAGCGTAAAAAAATTTATAATAGATTTGAAAATTTAGGATTAAAAAATATAATTAGAGCAGTTGATGGAACACATATTCTTATGAAAAATGCTTCAAGAAATTTATTTTACTCAAAAAAATGATATACTATTTATTATCAAGTTATTATATATGATAGAGAAATTTTATTAGTAAGTTTGTCTGCTTTACTACATAATGCTTGAGTTTTTGGAAATTCTTTTTTTTATAAAAATTATTCTAATTTTATTCAAGAGAATGATTATCTTTTAAATGATTTTGCATATCATATTTTTTCTTTTTTTTTTAATTTCACTTTTAAAGATCCAAATTCTCAAAACAAGAAAATTTTAATTGATTTTATTCATCTTATTAAGTTATAGTAGAAAATGCTTTTGGAAGATTAAAAGTAAAATTTAGAATATTAAGAAATCTTGATATTAAAATAGCTAAAATAGGAGTTTTGTTTACTTCATATATAATAATTTTACATAATTTCTTAAAAATTAATATATATATTTGAGAAGTTATTTTTGATGATAATATAAATTATAAGAATGATAATATACACACATAGGACAAAAGTATCTAGACACTATGCAAATTACTAAATTAATTAGGTAAAGTTAGATATAAGTAAACTTTTTTTTTTATTAATAAATTTAACTACAGTTTCATAAGTAAAGTTGTTTATCATAATTATCACGTGATACATAAAAATTTCAAAGAATTTAAGTAAAAATTAGTCAAACTATAATAATTTAAAATTTATTTTAAAATAATACATTTTCTAATAAAAACTTTAGTTATAGCATAATATTAAAATGTTTGGTCTTCACGTAATTTTTATTATTAAGTAACCTTTTTTGTTATTATTTGAAATATATAATTATAAATTTTTTTATAAAATTTTGTTAGATAGTTATGAAATAATATAAAAAAATCTGAAAAAATTTAAAGAAATTTTTAGCTATATTATAAAATTATAATCTTTAGTAAAAACACATAAATTTTAACCATTCTTTAGCTTATATTAATCTAAAAATAATACTAATATGATATAAGATACTTCTTACTTTTTATTACAATCTTAATTTTACAAGACATACTTTCAACTAACTTTAATAATCTTTCAGGTTCAATTTGATACTATTCTTCTTTAAGAGCAGCTAAAAGTTCTGACTTATTTTTGGTTTAAGACTACGCATTCTAACCTTTTTTTTCAATACATCTTATAAATTCTCAATTGGATTGAGGTCAGAGCTCTGTGCTGGTCAAAGAAGTAATTAATGTAAATTTTCTTCTTTCTAACCCTTTGTGAATTATGCTGCATATGCTGAAGTATTATCATCTTGAAAAATATGACTATTAGATCCAAGTTTATTAAGAAAAGGTAAAAAATAATGTTTAAGTAATTCTACATACTTTTCAGCATTTAATTTTCCCTCAATTAGTACTAATGATCCTACTTTAAAGTTGCAAAAATACTCTCAAACCATAACTCCTTCTGACTTTTGAACTGTTTGAATTAAACAATCTTTTGTATATGCTTCATGAACCTTACACCAAACCTATTGATTAGCGTCATTTCTAAATAATTCAAAACGAGATTCATCACTAAAATTATAAAATTCTATTCATCTTGCCAACTATTTCTAATATGACACTAAAGTAAACGTTTATTTTATTTATATTAGAAACTAAAGGTTTTTTCTTACCAATACATTTATAATAACTCATAGAATGCAGTACTCACTTAACAGTTTTACTACTTAATGAAATATTAAGACTCTGGTTAAATTGTTCAGTAATTTCTTCCACAGCTTGTTTACAGTTTCGTCAGACTATTCTTTTTAGTTGACTTTATCTTATTCTGATAAAGCTAGAAGTCTACCACTCTCAAGTGTAATATTAGTGCAGTTTTCTTTATTGTATTTCGTAATTACATTATGAATAGTAAATTTTGGTTTGCCAAGAATTTCTGAAATGTTTTTTATGCTATATCCACTCTTTAATAAACCTACAATTTCTTTACACTCAAAAGGTGTAAGCTTGCGAGTTTTTGGCATTTTTATATATTTATAAAAAAATTTTTTTTATTTAAAAAAGTGAAGCCGTAGGATTCTGAAAAAAAAGAATAACGAATTTAGTTAGAAATTAGGCATTCTATTATCATTTAAAGATCAGTAATATACAGTTAAATTTGTGTAATATCACAATACTTCAGATACTTTTGTTTTATGTATGTATAAGAGAAAATGATAATATATTAAAAAAAACTGAAAAATTAAAAAAATTTGATTTTTTATAACATTTTTTTTAAATATTAAATTTTAGTAAAAATGTTATAAAATTAGTTAGTTTTAAACAATTATATATTTTATAATATATATTAAATTTTTAAAAGTTTATGTATTTATAATATTTTTATAATAATTAAAATCTAATCAATTTTATTTGATTTAAATTAATATTATTTAATTAATAGTCTATTAGTTAAATAAAATTATAAAATATTATACAATTAGTAAAAAAATCCTTTGAAAATACTGTATAAACAATAAAGATTCTATTAAAATTATATTAGAATAATCATTATTAATATTTTTAGATAATCTTTGATATGAAAAAATAATGTAAGTTAAATAAATACTTATAAAAAGTTAATTAATTCAAAAAGCTAAAAAGCAAATGGAAAAAGTTATTAAATTAGATTTTAATACTATAATTTTACTTTGCAAATATTTATATTTACCTTTATCAATTATTTTTTTATTTAAATAACAAATTCTTTTTATACTTAATAAAGTATTCTGTAAAATCAGATTAGATCAGGTTTTATTCAAATCTGACTCAATTTGATTTTTATTTTTCAGTATTTAATCTGATCTGAATCTGATAGATCTGTTAAAATTTAAATCTGATCTAAATTTAACAGATCAGTTTAAATTCAAATCCTATATGATCTGAATCTGAAAAGTTTTATTGAAAAATGATTTTTTAGTTCTAAAAGAAATCTAAAAGTTATTCCTTTTCAATAAAAGCAATTTTTTTAACTTTAAAAAAGTTATTCCTTTTTATTGAAAAGAATCTTTTTAGTTTTATAAGAAATTTAAAAAATCATTTCTTTCAATAAAAAGAAATAAATTTTTAGTTCTAAAAAGATCTAAAAAGCAAATTCTTTTTAATATAAGAAAATGGATTTTTATTTTTAAAAAAAGTCTGAAAATTATTCTTTTTTAATAAAAAAATTCTTTTTAGTTCTAAAAGAAAGCTAAAAGTTATTTTTTTTTCAATAAAAGGAATTCTAAAAAGTTATTTCTTTTCAATGAAAGAAATCTTTTTAACTTTAAAAAAGATCTAAAATTTTATTTTTTTATTGTCATTTTCAAAAAAGTATGGCTGATCATTTTTATGAAATATTAAAATTATTATATAATTATACAATTATATAACTATACACAGTATATTTGATCAGTAATATAATAAATTCATTATAATTTTTGCATCTTATTATGTTATGCTTTTCTGCTTACCTTATATACATAATACAAAAAAATTATAAGTAGTTCTATTAGTAGTATTATTAATAGTAGTATAAATATACGTTTGATATTTACTATAGATGATAAATATATTTGCATTGCAAAAAAAAACAGTTGTTATAGTAATAAAACTACAAAACTGAAATATATAATAAGAAATATAATAAAAAAAAAGAGTTACCTATTCTTATGAATTTTCACTAGATAATATTAGTAATAGTATTAGTCAATGAGAATACCTATATGAAAAAAATTAGCATTGCAATTAAGAGATTGATTTTTCAACTACTTTTTCTATTTACTTATATACCAAATGTTATAGTCAATTTTGTAGAATATCAAAAAAACATGCATATACTTCAAAAATATCATCAACTATATCTTTTTCAAATCTTTAAATTTATCATCTTCTCCTTCAAAAAAACTATCAAATTTATCATCTTTTTCTTCAAAAAAATCATCAAATATATTATTTTCTTTTAAAGTATCATTAACTTCAACTGTATCAACCTCTTCTTCAAGAATATTATTACCATCACTAATAAGATAAAGTTCATCAAACATCATTCTGATATTTGATGATAAACGCAGATTTGATTTAAAATTCAAATTTTCTACAAAAACTTATAATTCATTTCTTTCACAAAAATGGTTAAATATAAATTTAAATTCTCATTTTGATTTTATTTATGATATTGGAAAATAGATAAAAAAAATTTTAAATCTTTCAAAATTAAATAAAAATGATTATATTCTTTCATATTAAATTTTAAATATGAGGAAATTATGTATTCAGTTATTTAATAATGAAGATTAAAAGGAATTTTTATATGATAATAAACAAATAGTTAAAGATAACAAAATATTATTAATAAATATATCAATGAATAAAAAGAAAAAAAATTGAGAAAATCAAAAAAAAAAAGAAATGATAAAAGTAATTATAACTGTTTTATAATTTTTATTATATAGAAATAATAAATATATTATTTTATAGTAATAAAGAATTTGATTTAGAAGAAAATAGAGAATCAATTATTATAAAAAAATCTAACGTATCTAAAAAAAATAAACTTAGCAAGTCAGAAAGAAGGAGTAATTATAAAAATTATAGAAAAGTATCATTGTATTCAATATCAAGTACTCTGTTTAATAACTAAAATAGGTTATGATTAACTAAGTATTATACAGTTAATAATATAGAATAATAATATCATAAGTAATATAATTAACTGACTAAATAATTAAATTTAAATATAAAATAAGATCTAATTTTAATTATATTTATTTTATAGATTGCCAGTATTTCTATAATTGAACTTACATTTACATCACTATTGTTTATTGCTAAAACTAAAAAAAAATACTGTTACTATTATTACAAAAATTAATTCGTAACCTTATCTACATTTTACTTAATGTTATTATTTTTTAGGATATCCTTATATATATTTTAATTATTCTTATCAAATTCTTTCATCATATCAAATGTAGATACCATTATCATAATTATCATCATTATTATTACCACCTTCTTCTAATATACAGAAGATAGACAAAAGTTTTTAGACACCTTTATAAATGCGATTTAAAAAATTTTTATTATATAATTATAATACTATACTGTTGTTATATGACTGTCTATTATTTATTTATATAATCAAAATAAAAAAATTTTGTGTTTTTTATCTTATTTTGATTTAATTTACTTAATCTTTACCAAATTGAAAAATAATGAATAAAATAAAGAATTAATCAAAGAACAACGTAGAGCTATATTTTACTTAGTCAGCCCAAAGTCCTGATCTTAATCCAATTGAAAATTTATAGGCTGATATTAAAAAAAACATTCATAGAGTTTTGAATGAGTCGAGTCGAATCAAATTTAAAGACCAACTCTATTCAACTTATTTTTTTTTAAGTCGAGTTGAGTCAAATTTATTTTATAAAATCTTTTAATTTGATTTGATTCGAGTTATATAAATTTTAAACTCAACTCAATTTGACTCAACTCGATTTTAACTCAATTCGATTTTGAAAAAAAAATAATAAAAAAAAAATGAAAAGATTGTGAGGGGACTGGGAAAAGCGAACGATTTGGGTCATTATTCTTCTTGAATGATTTTTTTATTATTCAAGTTGAACGATTTTTTTATCGTTCAAATTAAACGATTTCTTATCATTCTTCTTTAATAATTTTTTTATTGTTCAAATCAAATGATTCTTTATCGTTCTTCTTAGAATGATTTTTTTATTGTTTAACTCGAGTTAACTCGAGTCAACTTGAATCAAGTCGAGTTTAAATCGAGTCGAGTTAAATATTTAACTCAACTTGAATTTGGCTTGACTCGCCAATTATCGAATCAAAAAACATAATCTCAACTTGATTTGAACTTGACTCAGCTTATCTGACTCGTGAGTTAACTCGACTCATCCAGAACTCTAGCCAGATCTGCAGGCAACTAAATGAATATCTATGATTTATGTGATTATTAAAGGTAATAAAATTGATATTTAAGGATTTACATAATTGATCGACAGCAATAAAATGGACAAAATAATCTTTCTAAAAGATCTACATAGCAATAAAATTGACTTCATATTCTACCAATTAAATCTATCTAAAATTTTACCTGTCATAACATGATATGGTTTAAGAAAATGAAGAAGTGATAGAATATTATTCATAATATTGAGAGTAAATAATATTCTCAAATATAGACATACAAAATATTTTATAATTGTATTATCAAAATAAGAATTTTTATTATCTTTATTTAGCATATAGATAAGAAGTATTACACATGAATAGGTAGGAGGAGATTCAGTAGTAATAAACTTTACAGTTCTTGAAGAATTGCAAATTGAATAGCCTAAGAATAAGAATATAAGTTCTATTAAACTAAGATGACGTATAATAATATATTTCTTAATAAATTATTTTTACAGATATTAAACACATATGATAATTCTCTCTTGGTAATATATTTTATTATATAGCATGCAAATCCTTTATCTATTATATATTGAGTATTCATATACACATTTTAGATTAAGAGAATAATTAGATAGTAGAGAATAACTCACCTATCAGCTTCAGTTAAATATTTATAATATAGTGAGAATTATCTTCTTCATAATGTATTATTTTACCAAAAGGTCATGAAAATCCTTTTTTGTAAGTATGATTTAATAATACCAGACATTGGCATTTTTGATTACAAATGTAAATTTGATTAACAATTACAATAGCATAGAGTTTAGATTTATATACAAGATTTAGCATTATAGATCAAATTATATCATTTATAATCATAGTTTTAATAGTATTAGTTGTCTAATAATAACTATATATATCTTGATTTAAAATTCAATACAATCAAATAAATCTGTAATTTCACTAAATCTTATAAGAAATGATTTTTTATATAATTTTTTTTAATAATTGAAATCTATAATCAAAAAAATTTGCGTAATAAAAGTTTATTTGTAAATAGGTATCACTATTATTACAATATAGCAGATTTTTTCTATGATTGGCTAATTATATATTAACATAATTGGCCAATAACAAATTATGTAACTATTTATTTTAATAAAAAAATTTTTTAAATTTTAATTTTTTAAGTCTAAAATCATTAATATTTATGTGAAAATATTATATAAAAAGGATCAAATTATCTTTAACAAGTGAAAAATATATTAAAATATTTTTTTTATTAAATTATATTAATATAAAATACATTTAGATATTTATCTAAATTATAATTCATTATTAGTTATTTGGTTTAAAAATTAAATTAAATTATATAATAATGTTAAAATATAAAAGAATAATTATATATTATCTATTATTTATTAAAAATAATCCAATTTTTTCTTATATTTGTATAAATAAATAAGTCTTAAAAATATATACCAATATATAATTCCAAATTTCAATCTTATTTTCTCTCTCTTTATATATATACATATAAAATAATATATTGCAAAGAAATCCTTATTAGCTAAGTTCTAAATTATCTTGCTTTTTATCAAATTTCTTTAACAATTTATAAAACAGAAGGTATACTTTAGAAATTTTTTATCGCAACCCTTACAAATTTATTCTTATGATTGTGAATTTAGTTAAAAATAGATGGTCATCTTTTTTATATAAATTTAATATATAATGATCATTTTAAAAATCAACTAATCAGGCTTAAGCTCACTATGTTCATTATCACTATTAGATAGAATATTATTCAGGTAAATCTATTAATTCTCAATTATACTAAAAATTATAAATAAAGTTGAAAGTTTATTTTTTTGTAATATCACATTCAGATAGAATTACTTTTGCTAAAAATATGTATTACTTATTTATACAAAGGTTAGTATAGAAATGACAAATTTTTATTAATGATATTTTATGAAATATAAGCATTAAATTGGAGTAGATCACTGACAAAAGGAAGATTTACCATATGATCAAAATTCAATTAAAATTGTTATATAAGATGTTAGGTATTTTGATGATGCCTTAATTTCTCTAATTAAAGATAAGACCAAAAAGATTAATGATGATGTAACCTTCATCTCAGATCTATATTTATAAGATATAATTTGAATTACTTATCATAGGTCTTATTACGAATTTTATCAGTACTTTATGAAGACTAATCTGTTATATTATGAAAATATTCTTTTCATCTATAAATAAGTCAGAAAAAAGTAGAGGTTCTAAGTTAAAAATATATATAGAGATTAGTATATATAAGTTTTCATTTTCTTGAATAAAATCCACTATCAATCTCATATAGTGAAAGTCTTTATTATATACTTTATCAGGTATAATAATCCTTGAGAATTGATTGAAAGTATATTAGTATCAGTATTAAGATGTATAGCTGTTAGAAAAGGACTGTTTGTATTTTATCTTTAGTTTAAAAATAGTATTTTAGTAAATAGTTAATGATAAAGATTATTATGTGATAACTAAATAGCAGCTTGTTATATAGTTTTATCATAAATTAGATAAATATTATTATTATTATTGTTGTTTAGTTTTAAGAAAGCATCTAAGATTCTAGAATAAAAGATATATATTCTAATATTTTATGAATAATTCATTATACTAGTTAAACTTTTATATTCTGAATATAGATTACTGTTGGAAGTTCTTCCTAAGAAATAATATAAATAGATAAAATGATAAATGTTTTCTTTTATAAAAAAATAACTGAACTGATTTTATTTAGTATTGGAAAAAGGTAAAGAAAGGCATATTTTGTTAAAGATTTTTATAAAAATTACATGTAGGAATTCTTAGATTAGTGATTGTATTTACATTAAAATTAAAGGATAAAATAATATCTGATTTAAGAGATAAGTAATTGAAGGATCATAGATTATTCAAAAAGCCTTTTCAGAATAAGAATCTTTCACAACATATACAAATAATCTTGAGATCATTAAGTTAAAATATTATTTTAGAATCTATAATTAGGAATGAAAAATTATATGTTTAAGATAAATTAATATTTTTAAAATATTTTATTTAATATTGTGCAATAGTGTTTAGTAATTTTTAATACTATAATATATTATATAAAATGGTTATGTTAAAATAAAAAGACTAATTTATCTTAGATCTGATGTATAAATAATTTATTTTAAAGTATATTCACATGATAGATACAACTGCGATTTAGGATAAAGATTTATACTCAGAGTATAGGTTAAAAATCTTAAATAAAAATAAAAATATTATGTCTTAAATTACATCTTATCTTTACTTATTATATTGATTCTATTATTTAAGATAGTGTTTCTAGCATAAAATTAGTGATAGTACTTGTATTAAATGATTATCAGTTGAAGTTGATGGCAATATGAAATTAAGATCATTTGCATATAATGTGTTATCATTTGATAGATCAATTAACATTTCATATTCATTATCAAATCTAAAAATATTACGAATTTGATAGGTCATTTTTTTGTGAGAAGAAAATCTGGTTAAATTAGTATATATTTATTTATAAATAAAAAAAGAGAAAAGGTAATAATCAAATATATTGATTAAATTTTTTTAAGAGGCTTTTTTTGACTAATAAGAAATTTATACTTATTATTTTATGTATATTATCTATTTAATTTTATTTATATATATGCTTTTAAAATGTGTATTTTATTTTATTTTACTTAAATTAAATTCATTTAATAAAACAAAAAATAAAAAAATTTTTATGAAAATACTTTTATTTATTTAAAAATAATTTATATATTTATTATTTTATTCTAGATAAGTTTGTATATTTTATGTATATAGCATAATTTCATATTTTGAAAATGAAAGAATATATTAAAAATTTTATCCTTTATTTATGAAATTACAAATTAAAAATATTTTAATTCTAATGTTAAAATAATGAAAACAAAAATATCATTAAAGATAAAGTAAGATTTTTTAAAATGTATGTATATAAATACAAAAGGATAAACATGATATATTGATAAATTAGATTTTATTTAAAAATTAAAATAAAAATTATAATTAATTTTTTAATGAAAAAAATCAAATACTACTTTTTAATTTTAATCTTTTTCATTAGTAGCATTAGTGATATCAGTATTAAAGGTAGTTACAATCATTTATTAGGAATAGAATTTGATTTCAGAACTTCTGAGAAGCAAATTCTAATTAAATCTATTTGTGCTAGTATTATTTAATCACTCTTTAATATAAGATTGCATCTTGTAAAGTACAATTAGATTTATTATTACTGTTGTTATTATTACCTTATAACTATGATAGATTTAAACTGCTTTTATTATTGTTAACATTATTGCAGATAAATATCAGTGATATATTTTTAAACTTTATTATATATTTTTCAGGTGTTTATTTTCTTATGTAATTTTATCATATATAGAGAATTTATAAGCAATCAGACTTACCAACACAACTATAGTTAATCTTATCATCATTTGATTAATTACATTTATTTTATTTACTAAATATCTCAGATTCAGATCATAGGTCATATCTATCCAAAACTTTCAGGATTTTCTTTTTCCTAAATTTTTTTCAACATAGAATTTCTAGGTGGTATTTTCATTAATATTTTTGATAGTCTTAATTATAATTCTAATAACTATGATACTAAGTTTTACTGATGACATTATATTAAAATTCAGGTTTTTCAAGATTTTAATGGATATAATATTTATCTTAAAAGAAGTAGACAAACAATTAACTATTTTTTAAAAATTAAGATAAAAAATAAAATAAAACTAAAGCTTAGTTAAGACAATCTATAATTTGCCTTTATTATAGTTTTTTCTTTTGGTAAAAGAATTAATTATCTATTATCTTTGCTATGTTCTCATTTTGACGAAAGAATTAATTATCTTTACCTTTGCCATAGTTCTCATTTTAGTGAAAGAATTAATTATCTATATTTATCTTTATTTATATTATATTTAATATTAATTTATTTAAAAAAAAATTTAATATAATATGAGAAAAAATAACAGAAACAAAGTTTTTTTTATTTATATTTATTTATGTTTAAATAAAATTTATTAAATTAAAATATAGAGCTAACTAAAAAATAAATTTATTCTTATTATATAAATAAAAGCTACTAAAGCTAAAAGCTAATGAAATGATAAGCTACAACAAAATAAATGTATACAATTATAGTCATACCCTTAGGATCAAAAATAAAAAGTGTGATTATAATAAAAAGTTATTATATAGGGAAATTTTTATATGTTGTTACTAAGTGTTGATTCTGAAAGGGTGTAACTATAAAAACACAGTGATTATAAAGGGTTTTTTTATATAGCATTAATAGGTATTAGTTTTTATGAAATGTATACTTATAATGAGGAATTTATATGATATAATTATACAAGAAGGACTATAGAGAGGGACAACTGTATATACAATACATATTTGCAAAATAGAAGGGTGAAAAGATATAATCTAAAACAAAATTTATTAAATACTGATAATTGAATGAGAATCCTAATTGATTATAATTAAGATTAAGAGTACTCTCTATTTAACTTTATAGAATAACTTATATAAAATAATTTCACCAAAAAAGAATATACTTTGCAAGTATTTTGATGATTTTTGACTAGAAACTTTATGGAGATGATTGATACTTTGATATAAGAGCATAAGACTTGTATTATTTTGTATAAAGATTGATTAGAAAAATAATAGGTCTATTTTCTATTTTATGATAATCTATGATAATAATTATTAATTTTAAAATTTTTAAATTATTATTATTAGATACATCATAATATAATAAATTTAAAATTTTTATTTTTTCTTTTTATAATCATTAAATTTCAAAATATTTTAAGTTTTTTAAATATTTTAAAAATAATTTTATATTTATAATTTAAGAAATATACTAATTTTAATATGTAAAAGTATTATAAACAATTTTATCATGAAAAATATATTGTAATGACTTAAGGTATTTAATTTTAACGTAATAATTTTTTGATTTTATAAACTTTTTTTATTAATTAAAAAAAAAATACTTAAATGAAAATTTTTTTACAAGTATTTGATATCTTATTAGTATAGAATATTTAAATTTTTTTAATAATATATAATTTTAAATTAATAAAATATATTATTTCTTATTATTTAATAATCTTTCTTATTTTTACATATTTTAGTTTTATTAATATTGTTTATTTAACTCAATAATATTATTCAAAAAAGAATATAAATTACTTACTTTTAATAAAAGTTATTATTTTAGCCAAATTATATTTAAATTCAAAGTATTTATTAAAAACATCATACCATAAAATTTTTATAATATAAAAATTCATTTTTTTATTTAAAAAATCAATTTTTTGTATTTTACATAAAATATAACTGAATAATACATTATATAACCTAAAAAAATATTTTCTTCTTATAAAACTATATGTATTTTTATTATTAAAGTTATATATTTATATCTACTTATAAAAAACTTATTTTTAAAGTAAAATTTTACATAAATTTAAAAAAATAAGTAATTATTTAAAAGAAAAATTAATGATTAAAATTAATTAAATATATGATAAATTTTTAATTTCTTAATTAATATGAATAGTAAATATAACATTTTATGATAATTAACTATAGAGTAAAATAAATCAATTATAATTACATAAATTTTTTAATATAAATATGATCTATATGTGACATGTCTGATACTCATTATCATTCATCAAAGTATAGAGAACATTCTTATCATCTTTTAAAGATGTAAACTATTATTATTCATTAGGTTTAACCTGATTTTGATTAGATAAAATCAATTATTTTGATATAATATTTATTTTATATTTCATGTAATAAGATATTTAATTATTATTTTTTCAAAATAATTTTTGTAATTTTGACACTTATTAAATTGAAATTTTTCATATTTTAATATATAAAATTTTATTTTAATTTTTTAATTTTTATTTGATATTTATCTAAGAAAAATTTTTATAAAAATTATTTAATCATTATGTATATATGTGATAAAATCTAAACTATTCTTCATAATATTTCTTGCTTATTCAAATAATAATTTTTTTCATTAAAATCTTGAATTATTAGTCTAATAATTGCTTCTGAAATTAGCATTTCATACAAATAATTAACTTACTTTAAAGGCTTACTTTTTTTAAATATTAAAATATTTGTTTTTAAAAATAATTTTGTTAAAATTGTTATAATAGCTATTTCACCTTTTGAATTATAATATCTAAGTTATAAAATTAATAAAATTAATAAAAATTGTTAAACTAATAAATAATCAAAAGAAAATATTTTAATTAAAATTTATTCTTAATTTATCATTTTATTTTATCAATATCATAGGTGTATTTATTTTTTGATATCCAAAATTATTATAAATGAATAATGCTAAATTATAAACTAATTTTCAGATTTAAAAATAATATTTGATAGATTATTTTTAATATTATCAATTCAATTTATAAAATTTTTAAAATTTATTTTTATAGAATAACTAGTTCTTATAACTAATAGAATTCTGTATAATATATATAATAGAAATCTACACAATTAGTTTTTAATATTTTCTTTAAAATAAAATATTAAATATTTATTTTAATTAGAAATACAAATAAATAAATAATATAAAAATTTTTTATACTTTTTTTTTGTAATATCTTTAATATTCAAATAATTTTTTTGATAAAAGATTAAATTAACTGATATTTGCTAATCTTAAATATAATCAAATTCAATTATATATATTCTTTTTTTAAAAATAAAATAAAAAAAATTTTTTTATTAATCTATACTAGTAAATTCATTTAGAGGAAATTTTTAATGAGAATAAGATTTTATATATTTTATAGCAAAATTTTATTCTATAAGAAAAAATAAACTAATAACCACTATTATTTTTTATTAAAAATATATATTTTTTTTTCAAGAATTTCGTTTTTAGCAAGTTTTGCAAGAGAATTTCTTCAAATGATAGAAATTCAAATCTATTATAATTCTTGAAAAAAATACATTTATTAGGAGGGTAAGTAGAGCTAATTAGAAGAAAATAAAATTTAAGCAATTTTTTTCTTTATCAATGTGAGTAAATCTATTTTAAGATTGCAATTATCTGAGTAAAGAAAATAAAAAGATAAAGATTTGTATTGAATAAAAATAAAAATAAATCCTTATAACATAAGGTTAAGCCAGGATAAATTAGTTTTCATTGAATTCAACATTTTCCATCGCCTCCTGAGTATTATCATCTGATACTTTTTCTTTCAACTCTTTGTGTTGAGATGTTTGACTCGAATTATAATTAAATCCTTCAACACGATGAGAATTTGCAAACCGTCCTTTATAACCAGTTCTTATTCCAAAGGTAATAGTTTTAGGTACTCTTGGTAATCTTAGGTTCGACATGGATTTAGTAAGAGAATCAACATCCATAGTTCCAGGCTCGGTGTCAATAAAGTTAGATGAATCTACTTTCAAAGTACTTGTTGGTAATTGTGATGATTCTAAATTTCTATTACTTTAGGTGAAATATATGGCCAATTTTTTATTAAGCAAATAGCTTATTAAGATAATAATATAAAACCATAATAATATAAAACCTGTTCTTTCTCTTTTTTTTCCTTATTTTCTCCGCATTTCGTATGCTATATGGAATGATTCCATTCACAAGTATACCAAAGTTAAAAGTTTTCGGATATTTATGATAATCTATCAAATGAAGTCGTCGTTTCTTTGGGCTCCAAAAAAACCTATTACAACTCTGAACATAACATTCATGCTATAAATAAGGTTGAGACGCGTTAAATTCGAGGTATGAAATGAAAAAATAAAGGAATATCTATATATCTATATTATAATTACTATCTTTTCACCCTTTTCTTTTCTCATCAGAGTCATAATGTCATGAAATTCCGTCAAATGAAGATTCAGCCAACGTTCTGAAGGAAATACTTTGTCACATTCTTGACAAAAATGGCGATGAGAAGTATTATAGTGAGTTTCGTAGTCTAAAGCTGTATAAAACATTATTGGATTTTTATTACACCAAGGTGGTAAACAACATGTGAATGGGTTTGCGCTAGAAAGGGAAACGGTTAATGACTTTAATTTTTGTATTTGAAACAACATTTTGAAAAATTTTTTTTTTTGCGTTTTCTATTTTACATTGTTAGTGACTTTAGCTCCTCGTTGAAAACCTCTTCAATTTGTAAACGTGAGTGCTTTTTCAACCAATCGAAACGGAATTCCAAGTTTCCTAGTGTGAAAAATGGATCTTCTGGTGAAAATTTTCGTTTGAATGGGTGATAAAATTCTGACATGTTTGATAAATAGGAAGAAATCTATCAATTTCTGATTTGCAAACTACATTAACTCATATAAATATTGATATATTGATATATATGTCTCTATCTAGTAACGTCACAGATTCATTTTTGTTTACTAAAATAATTTCTAGTTTTTGAATTCTAATTAATTAAAAATTTTAAATTCTTTGAATTAACTGTGCAATTGGAAATGCTTAATTTATATCAGTCGAAAAAGTATATGCAGCAATTCAATTCCAATAGTGTAATATAAATAAATCTACGCGTCGTAATAGTACCTATATAGTAATGTACCATTGTATTAATTGTATTACTAACCAACAACGGAAATACGGATAAAACGTATAAATTGCCAGATCACGAAAAAATGTCGAATCAAATCAGATACGCGATTTTTCGTTCAAATTAAAACCAACTTGTTATATCACCGAGTTTTCGAAAATTTTATTCTTGACGCATCAAAAATGTCTTCAATGGATATTGACACAAGCCTTGATAATATCAACGAACCAATTAATGAAGGTATAAAAGAAAATGGTGATCATTCGAAGTCGCTTACGGTATTTGTCAATTTGCTTTTTTTTTTTTTTTTTTACCACACTGTCCTTCTAAGTTCATTCCTTTTACGTTGAAAAACTTTTATAGGCTTCACGTGATACTTCATTCGTCGATGAAGACGTTCTAATGTCAGAAGTACAAGTAAAGCAGGTTTCTAATGATGAGTCTGAACAGGTATTAATTTTATTTCTTTTCTACATTATTATCAAGCTAAAATTTTCGTATCAATAATGCTAAACATGTTTTTTATTTTGTTTGATTAAAAGAGTGGCTCAAAATCAAGTAATACTGCGAAAGGAGAACTTCAACGTTTAAGACAAGAGCGAAAGGTTCAAAAGGAATCCTTCTTAAGTGATAGGCGAGAATTAAATAAATCAAAGGTGCATTTTATGAATTTTTGTAAAATTCTCATTGATTTATTAAAATCAATGTGTCTTTCTAACAATTACCTTATTAGATCAAAGATACTGCTAAAAGATTCCAATTTTTACTTGGACATTCAGGTAATATCAATAACTAAAACTTAATAAGTAATGATTGATAGCTTGTTTGATTGTTACTTATCTCAATTCAACATTATATATTTATTTAATACTTAAAAGAGTTATTTTCGCATTTTATTGATTTAAAGGTAAGTAATATGATTTTGAGTCAAAACTATAAAATTTATAAAATTAATTCGCCTTGTATTTATAGAAATCTAAAGATGAAGAGTTTAAAGATCTTGTTGAAGAAACAGAAAAGTTAAATAAATCAAAACAAAATTCTGATGGGTAATGATATTACATTATGTTTATATATTTGTGAAAATGTCATTATAATAAAACTTTTCTTTGTTCTATTCGTTGATTTAGATCTCGTCGTCATAGAAAGACAGAAAAAGAAGAAGATGAGGTTATTAAAACTTTTAGTTTTACTGTTAGTTTTAATTGATTATTCTAATATTTTATGTTAAATAGGAACTACTAGAAGATGAAGAAGATGAATCGGAAGACGTTCCAACCGTTTTTAATGAATCGCCAAACTGTGAGTGAAAAAAACAGTTCATTTTTTGTACTTTCCTTATTTTCCTAAATTATTTGAAACATTAATTTGTGGTTACAGATATAAAACATGGGGTTATGCGCGATTACCAACTTCAAGGATTGAATTGGATGATATCTCTTTTCGAAAATGGAATAAACGGTATTTTGGCCGATGAAATGGTAAATTATGATTTTATTATATATTGATTGTTAGATTTATAGTTTAACAGCTTTTCGTATTTTGGAAAAAAACAGGGTCTCGGCAAGACATTGCAAACCATTTCATTTTTGGGATACTTAAAACATTATCGTAATATACCCGGTCCTCATCTTGTTGTCGCTCCAAAATCAACATTATTTAATTGGCAGAAAGAATTCAATATGTGGACACCGGATTTTCACATACTTGTTCTTCAAGGAAATAAAAATGATAGGGTGATGTATATAATATTTAAACTCGAAATTTTTTTACTTACGATTATTAATCATTTGTTTTCATATACTTACATTATCATAGGCTCAATTAATAAAAGATCGATTATTGTCCCAGGATTTCCAAGTTTGCATAACATCTTACGAGATGTGTTTGATAGAAAAAGCACATCTAAAAAAGTTTGCTTTTCAATATATAATAATCGATGAAGCTCACCGTATAAAAAACGAGAATTCTATGCTTTCACAGATTGTCAGACTTTTTAAATCACGAAATCGTTTATTGATCACTGGAACACCACTACAAAATAATCTTCATGAGTTATGGGCACTCTTAAACTTTCTTTTGCCAGATGTTTTCAGCTCATCAGAAGATTTTGATTCTTGGTTTAGTTCTCAAGGCGGTGATCAAGATAGTGTCATTAAACAGCTTCATAAGGTATTATCTATAATGTTATAAATTTAAGTTAATTATGAATTTTAAATGATCATTTATTACTTATTTGTAGGTTCTGAGACCTTTCCTTTTGAGAAGAATAAAATCTGATGTTGAAAAATCTCTTCTTCCGAAAAAAGAGATAAACTTGTATGTTGGCATGTCATCGATGCAACGCAAATGGTATCAACGAATTTTAGAGAAAGATATTGCCGCCGTTAATGGTAAATCCATAAGAATTTTTTTTTAGCAATGTTATTGAATATCGAACTAAAATGATTCTATTAATTGGTCATAAATAGGTGCCATCAGCAAAAGTGAAAGTAAGACACGGTTGTTGAATATTGTAATGCAACTTAGGAAATGTTGCAATCATCCATATCTTTTTGATGGTGCTGTAAGTATTTTTACTATTTATTAATACTTAAAGAGTAATGTTAAACAATATTTATTTATTTTTAAATTAGGAACCTGGTCCCCCATATACAACCGATGAACATCTAGTTGACAATGCCGGTAAAATGATAGTACTAGATAGACTCCTCAAACGGCTAAATGCTCAAGGATCTCGTGTCCTACTATTTAGTCAAATGAGTCGTGTTCTCGATATATTGGAAGATTATTGTATATTCCGTGGATTTGGTATGCACTATGTCATTTCATATGAATTTTGAGATATTATATATAACCAAAAAATTTGTCTTAGAATACTGTCGTATTGACGGACAAACAAAACAAGATGATCGTGTTACTGCAATCGACGAGTATAACGCACCGGGGAGCAGCAAGTTTATCTTCTTACTCACTACTCGAGCTGGTGGTCTTGGAATCAATCTGACTTCCGCTGATATAGTAATTCTTTACGATAGTGATTGGTAAGAATCAGTTTAATATTATTTCTATTCTGTTTATTAATTAATATATATACTTTGATATGTAGGAATCCTCAAGTTGATCTTCAAGCACAAGATCGCGCTCATCGTATTGGACAAACAAAACAAGTTTATGTATTCCGTTTTGTAACTGAAGTAAATAGATGTTATTCATATAAATAGAATTAAATCATTTGAACGTTAACTAATAATTCTATCCTTATTTAACAGAATGCTATTGAAGAAAAGGTGCTAGAACGTGCTGCACAAAAGTTGCGTTTGGATCAACTTGTCATTCAACAAGGACGATTAGCTCAAACGCAAAAAGGTTTAGAATAATACTTTGAATTTATTGAAACAGATTATTTCTATAAATATTTTATAATTTAACCAATTATAAATGTATAATTACAGCCGCTTCTAAGGAAGAACTCTTGACCATGATTCAACATGGTGCAGAGGGTATCTTTACTTCAAACGATAGGTAAGACTAATGATGTAATTATTCTTTTTGAATTTGTTATATAAAAAATAAATTTTATTAATAATTTAATCCGACCATAAATTTAGCACTGTCACGGATGATGATATTGATAAAATTCTCCGTAAAGGTGAAGAAAAAACTGCCGAACTTTCAAGTAAATATCAAAGCCTTGGGCTAGAAGATTTACAAAACTTTACGTCAGAATCGGCTTATCAATGGCAAGGCGAGGATTGGAGTAATAAGGTTGGTCTTTTTTTCTTTATAATCCTTAGTATTATTATTATTATTATTATATTGACAGTTACAATTGATTTTGTAATATTCAGCAAAAGAAAAGTGACATGGGTCGTTTTAGTTGGATAGAACCGCCTAAGAGAGAACGTAAAGTCAATTATGCAGTCGACTCGTATTATAGAGAAGCACTTCGTGTAACGACTAAGCCAACTCAGGCTAAACCTCCAAAGGCGCCGAAACAGATAACCATGTTGGTATCATATATTTACTTGTTCTATTTTAATGTGTGTAATTTATAAAAGAATTCTTTTTTAATTTTTTTTTAGTAATGAGCATCAATTCTACCCTCCACGTTTGGTAGAATTATTAAAAAGAGATATGTATTATCAACAAGTATGTATTAACATATTCTTGTGAAGGTTATAGCTATAAGTTAAAATTTTCATTAATAGTTTTCTTGTAAAATAGAAATTGGCAGGCTATAAAGTTCCTTTATCAGAGCCACAGGGTGAAGATGACGATGTAGAATCGCGTGAACAGGAACGCCAAGAAGAACAAGAAAGAATTGATAATGGTAAATTATATTTGAAGAACATTTGTTATGATATTCAGTTAATTAAATGTATGCTTTGTTATCTATAGCGGAACCTCTTACCGAAAATGAAGAATCCGAAAGGGATAGATTAATGAATGAGGTAAGTATAAAATTTACGTAATTTTTTTCTTATCTATATCAGCTAAACTATTGTATATATAGATTTTTGAAGATTGGAGTAAACGTGACTTCAATAATTTTGTGACTGCATCTGCCCGATGGGGAAGAGATGCCATTGCGGAAATTGCCGAAGAAATGGAAGGAAAAACTGCAAAAGAAGTCAAAGCATACGCCGAAGTGTTTTGGGATCGTTATCATGAATTACCTAGTAAGCAACATGTGTTATATATTTATTATTATTTTTATTATTATTAATAATATTCTTTCATTTTAATCTAGATTATGAGGAAATAATTAGCAAGATAGAAAGGGGCGAAGCCAAATTGCAACAAACAGCCGATATTCAAGAATTAATTAAATCAAAAGTTAAATATTATCGGCAACCAGGACATCAATTACAAGTTTCAAATCAAGGCAAAGGGAAATCATTATACACAGAAGAAGAAGATAGATATTTGTTAATTGCCTTAGCCAAATATGGATATGGAACTGATGACGTTTATGAAAAAATACGTAGTGATATTGAAAGCGTAGACATGTTCAAGTTTAATTGGTTTATAAAGTCAAGGACAACAAGCGAAATTGCTCGAAGATGTACTACATTGATAAATCTTATTCAAAAGGAATCTGGAGATGAGGAGGAAGATGAAAGACCAAAAGTATATTAATAATAATTTTGCTTCGTAAAATCTAAGCCTTTTGAACGATCGATTAATTAATTTTATTTATTTTTATTTTTATTAGAGAAAAGAAACTCCAACAAGTAACGGCACATCTGTTTCAAATTCTAAGCGTAGTCGACGTTAGCGAACTAAAAAGATGTTTATATTAGTTAACCTACATGATATACTAATAAATTACCATTATAATATCTGACATTTTAATAACAAAATAAAAGAGTAATTAATAATATATAGAGTTCTATACATTGCATAACAGGTCATTTTTGGATTATATTAAGATAGTAAGCTGAAGTACACTCGCTCACTATAAAGTGTGAATTTCTATATTTCGTTATAAACACAATAAGAATAATTTAGTTATACAGGAAAGAACTAATTATACAAAAAGTTAGTTATATTATTTTCAATAAATATGATAACAAATATATATATATATATATTATGGAAATACGATATGAATAACTTAAAACATTATTAAGAGATGTTCAAAATAAAAAATTGCCAATTTTCTTCATTTTCTTCTTGATAAATCTCTAAATGCTGAATCAATACAATTCTTTATCTCTTTATAAGAAACAATTAAACATGATTGTTCATCTCTTGAAACCAACATTATCCTTTCATCAACTCCAGCATCCAACTAAAAAATTATATATATTAAAATATAAATTAACAGAATTCAGAAGAAATGGTGGTGAACGAACTACAAAAATGTTTTTAAAAATACATTAATAAACTTACCTTATTTAAACACATTAGTACATGGGCCATATCAACTACAGGGTAACCATTTTCATCTACTTGATGAAACACATAATCCCTAAATAATTTAATTAAATATCTATCTCCAGTTTCTGACCAACTTGGATCCATATCAAACCTAAATTTATTTCATCAGAAAAAAATGTAAATTAAATTTGGTATTTGATCAAAGATAAGAAATATGTAAATATGTATAGACAAAACGTACTCTGGACGTTCATTAATAAATCCGAATTTACATAGTAATCTTACTAATCTTCCATTTTCTAATTCCTGACTCAACCCACTTTCCAAAAAATCATTATAACTAGAAAAAAAAATCAATTAATTCCAAATTTAATAAAAAACAGAAAATTATAAATTTTCAACGTAAAAGGAATATTTACTGATGAACGCTATTAATCTCGTGTAATAGTCGTGGTCCTATCATAGCTATAACATCATCTATAGATTTCATTGGAGTTGGTTTACTTAATAAATATAATATCACATTCTTTAAATCGAGAGAATAATGTCGGGAAATGTAATCAATTGATTTCGGTAAATTATGAACCGATGAAAGTGAATTACACGCAAGTGAAATAATTAATTGACCGAAATTTAAGAGATCTTCTTGCTAATAAAGGTTTTTAAATATAGAGTTTTGATTAGTTTATTTAAAGCATAGTTACAATAAAAAAAAATCTTTGGACTTCACGTGAATACAATATCAGCTAGCTCATAATGTCTTATATATATATATATATATTTGAATTTTCAATCACGTATGCCCAAGAATTCCAAGAATTTTCAAAGAACCTGAAAATGGGGGATATTTTTCCCACCATCAAAAGTCAACATATCCATTATTCCACAGCAATTAATACGTATGCTACTTTTAATAATTTAATAAATTACTTTAATGTTTAAATATTAAAAATGTTTAAAAACGGAATAAACTTTTAACCAATTAACCTTACCGATTTTTATTCGTTAATAAAATTTTTGTAGGTTCAATCGTTCGAGCTGCCAGTCCTGAAGAATGTATCGTCTTTATTGCAGAAGCCAACTGTGTAATATAACTCCATAAAACTGTTTCAGTAATAGCACCAGTCCCGCCACCCTGAGGAAGATTTGTTGGTTGCAATGAAGGTGAAAAATGTTTGTCGAAAAGAGTCTGTGATAAAGGATGATAATCGTATACAAAAACAAGTGCTTTCATACAAACAAACTTTAACGTTAGATAACCGGGTATTTACCATGTTAAAAAAAAAGGTACATATTAATTTCTGAAAATGAAATATTACTCACAATGATCACCAAAAGCCTTAGTAGTAAATGCTTCACGTACAGAAACAATATTTGCATGTCTAATCCTTCGCCAATTTTCTATTGTTGACATCGCTATTTCATTTGTTAAACGGAAACCTATTCACATCAAAAGTGATGTCAGTATTAAATTTTGCTTAAACAAATTCGAATTAAGAATATTCTGACCCACCTACCCTCAATGCGTCTTAAACAGTAGACGCGTCCATCAACAAGACAAACTGATTTGTATACCCAACTTGGATATCCAAATATCTTTATGGATTTCTCTTGGCGTTGATCAAGAGGATACAAGGAATGGTATACATGAAGTTCTTCCGGTAAATTAAAATCTTTCGCTAAAAATGCAATTTTAAAGATGAAGGATATCAGCAATGATCAAAATACATATATCTTGACAATATTTATTACCATTCACGATTTTCAACGTAGCTTCATTCTTTTGTTGTAATTCTTCACGTAAATGGTCCGACATAAAAAATGAATGAATTGTTTTTTGATGCGGATGTAGATTGGAAACATGCGGTAGGGGTGATGTGTAAAGGTGATATCGTAACTACGAAAAATATTTTGAAATTCAATTTCAGTCATATATCGGAACTTTTGATAAGAAAATCAAATTACCGCATCTACGTTCATGATAATTATCGTACTGGTTGAGGCAATAAAGCCTGCTGAGATTGATATAAGAATGGATCCAAATGATGTGAAGTCGTAAAATAGCTCGTATTATTCATGTGATGATGTGACAGAACATCTGGTATCGAATTCTCATTAGATGCAAATTGATTCGCCTATAATATGACGCGTAAAAAAATTTAGACAATATATAAATATATAACATTAATAAATATTAAAAAAGATAAAAATAAATAGTTTTTTTATATCAGACATTGGCGTTAAGCCCTAATGAAGCAAATGAATTGGCAAGTGCGTTTAAACCATGACTTCCAGCACCTCCAGGAGACAAAAGGAAAGGCGTTGAAGGTGGTACAGGAGGATAAAATCCCATACTCTGTTCGTATATTGTAATTCTTTAGAACAAAATAAAATTACTGCTAAATATGTTTGTTAACTAAGAAATATTGCTCTACTTTTATAACTTTTATATTAATATATTATTAGCAGGAAAAAAAAAGAAATGATTGGTAAATAATGTACTCATTATCATACTCTTGTTCTCCAGAATTTTTCTGAGGTGAACCTTGCAGTATTGTAAAATAAGGATAAATTAAATTTGAAGTAAATAAATAAATAATAAGTATAGCGCAACGCATTTTAAATTACATTCATACCTGGTGTACTTGTAGGAGTGACCGGAATTTCTTCGGGAGGGTTTACTTTAATAAACATTACATGTATAAACTTTAAAATTGTTATAATAAAAATTCAGTAAAACTGTATATCAAACCTTGAGTACTTTTAGGGATAAAGGGTGGCGCATTTACTACTTCTGGTGGAATGGATGAGATTAAAACGGAAGGTTTGAACACTGGAGAATTGACACTTAATTTTGACTTGGTACTAATTAATTAAATGAAATATAAAAATAAAAGATAAATTAATTGTAATTTCTTTGAATTCAAAAGAAAATAACGAATCTAACGAATCGAGATTTACTTACGTTTCCGGACTATTTGGAGGCGATGTCGATTTTCCCTAAAAAAAAAAAATGAACAGATTGAACTAACAATTTGAAACAAAATATAGATGCAAATAGGGGTAAAAATTATAACTTTACAAGAGATCAATAAGGAAGCGTGTCACTAAATCATTACGTTAAAATTTTAACATAATGAAATTGCCACTTCAGTCAACTTACTAAGTCGTGATTAAACTCACAACCTTTTCCCTCATATTTACAGTATCCATGTATAATTAAATTTCTACAAGTTCGCGTTTTGGAATTTGCTGCTAAATCTATAATAGAATTTTAAAAAGTTAAAGCAAAAGAAATGAACAACGAAGCATAAGTTTGATAGACTGGAATTCACGTAAAATGTAGTGTCAAAATTTTAATGATACTTTTTGAAGGAGGTGGACTTTTAGGGGTTTCCTTTTCGGTAGTAGGTGCGACAATTGGAATCGCGGATGATCCTGACGGGGTTGGAATCGAGAATGAAGACATTGAATTATAATAAAACAAGGAAAATATCAGCGCGATCCGAATGCGAAAGTGACAAAAGAAATAAATTCTAGATAAAAAAATTTTTTGACTTATTCACGGTATTCAAGGTAACACACGCGTAACGCAAAGGAGTTCATGTAACATCTAATTACTTAGCGTGTTCAAAAAAAAGTATCTGCAATAATTCACCAACCGGTATCATATCCGAAAATTTTCCAAAGACCTATATTTCCTTCCAAAACTTGATCATACTTAATGTTTAAAGGTTTTTTAACCTAGAACGATTTTATAAGTGACAAAAGTTTATACCGCTTGTTCTAATTAAAGAATCAACAAAATTTTTTCTTATATATAGTAAGGTGAAGGGAACGAAGGTTAGAATGTCGGTTACTCAAAACATTCATTGTCCTGGTATTGATTACCTTGTTGTGATTGATTTCGAAGCAACTTGTGACGAGAACAACACAATTCCACAAACTATACTAGTGACAAAGGTATTACAAAAGCAAAGTAAATTCTTTGTAAGCTCTTGTTTCTTTCTGTCGGGTTTACGGTTGGCTTCGGTGCTCGTACGCGTTCTCGAACCGTGTCCTGATATTTTATTTGTTTTTTTTTGTTCAAGAAAGTTAACTACATTTTAATGAGATTTATTACATGGTTTGCAAACGTTGTTGGCTTGATTCTTTACTAGGAAACGGCAGAAATCATAGAGTTTGCCTGGGTGATTGTTGATACCAGCACTTTGGAAGTGGTTAGTATCCAAATAATTTACTGGAAAACACGTATTTTTACTAGAAATCAAAATTTGGGGGATCTTTTCAAATTTGGCGCAATTCAATCATAATAATAAACATATAGGTGTATCAACACTCTCAATATGTCAAACCAGAAGCTACTCCTTTGACTCCTTTCTGTACCAGTCTAACCAATATAACTTGGGAAAATCTCGAAACCGCGGGTACTTTAAAAGATGCCATAACCACTTTGGATGACTACATTAAAAACTACATCATCGCCAACAACAAAACGTTTTGCTTTTGCACTCACGGAGCATGGGACCTTAGGATCCAATTGCCTAGAGAAGCACGGGATAAGCGTATTGAATTACCTCCTTATCTGGCACATTGTAGAATGTTTGATTTAAAACAGGAGTATCAAAGATGGCAAGTGCATCATCCAGATGTGATATTAAAAAATCATTCTTTAAATGAAATGTGCGCTGCCTTTGAATTACAAATGGGTGGTCAACCACATTCTGGATTAAGAGATTCACTTACTATGGTTTCCATTATTCGATACTTTTGCTCTTTCGGACATCCTGATGTGTTTGTGAACCCTATTGACACCAACGCAGATTTGAACCAATTTAAAAAAGAAGAATCTAAAGTGATTCATTTGGCGGGTTTACCATATGATGTTACACAACCTGAATTAGAGGCTTGGTTTTCAGGTCAAGGTGTTAGACCAACAGTATTATGGATGATTCGAACGCCCGATCATCAGAAACCAAGCGGTTCCGGGTTTGGAATCTTTGCATCACATGAAGACGCTATGGCCTGTTTAGAGATGAATGGGAGAACTTTAGGAGATAGAGCTATAGAAGTGAGTCCAAGTAGTGAAAGAGTTATTGAAGCAGCTGGAGCAATATTAGCATCATTTCCGGTATGTGAATATGTTATTTATTATGTTCAGATGCATGAACTATTCATGCTTGATGATGAGGCTTTTAACCAATTATACTAATGTTAACAAATCAAATTATTTTATGAATCAAAAATGGATATGGATTTGCCTTGTATTTTTTTATATTCGAAAAGATGTCCAAAAATCGTCTTCGGCCGGGTGATTGGGTTTGTCCAACTTGTCAGTTCCATAACTTTGCTTCTAGGAGGACGTGTTTTAAGTGCAATGCTATGAACCCAAACCCTTCTCCGGTGCCTGGAACACCTCCAAATTTTACATTAGGAGATTGGATGTGTCCAACCCCACAATGTAATTTCCATAATTATGCATCTCGGACTCAGTGTTTAAGATGCGGAACATTCAAACCTCAGGGAATGTATGGTCCACCGCCGTCAGCAAATATGTCTTTTCGTCCTGGAGATTGGATTTGTCCAAATCCAAGCTGTGTCTTTCAAAATTTTGCTTCTAGAACGATTTGTATGCGATGTGGTGCTACGAATCATATCGGATATGATGCATACGGGAACCTAACAACACAGGATCAAGGAGGTTATGCTGGTAGTGTTAGTCACGGGTCTTCGTCACCTGCTCCGGCACCCTTCCGGCCGGGGGATTGGTATTGTCCTAGTTGTAACACTCATAACTTCGCTTCACGATTTCAGTGTATTCGTTGTGCAATAAGTAAACCTCCTCAAGTTGCAAATAGCGTTGCCATCACAGCTAACATGAAACCTGGGGATTGGTTATGTAGTAATGAAATGTGCGGGTATCATAATTTTGCGAAAAGAACTCATTGTGCAAAATGTGGTATGCCGAATAATTCTACAGCGGGTGGAGAGAATGGGTTTCAACAATAATAGCGTTAAGTACAATTATTATATATAATAATATACTAAATTTATAGTTTCGTACTAGGAATATGAATTATTTAGTAATTTATGGAAATTTTTATAAAAATTTACTTTTGATTAGGTTTGAGGATTTTATTTAGAATATATTTGTATATTAAAAGAAATGGGGCGCTTTTTCAACCGTTCGAGTTTGGAGAAGCTGGTCGGGAATTTTATTCTTCTTTTTTTTTTTTTTGTTCATTCTTACAAAATCTGTTTTCTTTGCATTGTAAACCTTGTAAATATTCTTGTTGGATGTCTTTGCACCATGACTTTTTTATTTTCCTAAAAAATTATTTTTTTGCCTTATTCGAATTTTTAATACCTGGCGCAATCATTTTGTTTATATCATTTTTCTTTTCTTTTCAATTTACATGCTCTGATGAGCTTTAAAAAGGAATTTCATTACTGCATCTTTTATTAGTCATGTATAATGGGGGAAAGGGATAGCATTATTTCGTATATTATTATATGAACAAAATTAAATACTTTAACAAAGATCCAAATTTAGTTACTCGAATATTTCATTTTCTATTATTGAATGGTTTTGGTTCATGGGTGGAATAAAAATATAAAAATTGTCTTAATCTAGAATTCTTTTTTTTTTTTCTTTTCTTTTTTTTTGATTCTAGTTATGTTAAGGGATTTTTTTTTTAAAAATCGTATTAATAAATTCTTTTCTTTATTCATCAAGTTGTTTTTTCCCATAAACCTTCTTTTAAAGGTAATTGGCCACAATTTTCAATTATATCTAACGAAATTTCAACGATTTGTTCATGTAACCTTTCAACGGATTGTTTAGCATCTAAAACTTCCCACAAAGAATCATCATCATCCTTTTCTTTTAACAAAGCGAATGTTTTACGAACTATTTCTTGAAAATCTTTTTTTTCGTAGCGTTCTTCACCAAATCCACCTCTTTTTTCGGATTCCTCAGTCGATAAATCCATAAAAATGATAACATCCGGACGTAATAATCCTATATCCGAACAACGACACCAATTTAAATCCAAACCCTAATGATGAAGATTGTTATATTTCAATTTAATATATTATAAAGAAGGAAATAAACCATATATATAATTTAAAAACATTAATTACTTTGGAAGCTGAATATGATACACCAGAATAAGCATATCTATCCACAATTATTGTCGTTCCACCAAGTAGTAGATTTTTCATTTTTGGCCTAATAAGGTATAAAATTGGTTTAAATTAGTTTTTAATTTATCCTTTTAATTTAATTTATTTATTTATTTATTAATTTATTTATTTGCCTAAATCATTATTATTATGAATGAAAACTTACATACACTCCCATCTATTTGCAGAAAATAATAAATGAATTGCCTTATCATCTAATTCTTGATTATTTGTTAGATATGCGTTAATCGTTTGTCCAATTGGTGTCGTACGATCTGAAAAAAAATTTAATAAACACTATTGCTTAATTTTTTTTATGAAGACATTTTGCTTTACATTAAAATGAATTTTATATACCAGGAAATTTCCAAAATTTAACAGCATGTCCTTTAATTTGTAAATATTCAAAAAGTTTATTCGCTTGTGTTGATTTTCCTGTTCTGTCACATCCTTCAAAAAGGATAAAAGCTCCACGTTTATAAGTAGAAGTATTTGTACTTATTGATATTTCTTTGGACATTCTTTTTGAATTAAGATCGCTTATTTGCTTTTTTATTTGCTATAATTAAGAAATTTGCGAAAACGCGCTATTTGACTAAACGCGTTATTTGACTAAACGCGTGTTTAATAGACTTATAAGATTAAAACCACGTGTTAGGTTTTAATTGTATTTTTTATATTGAATAATTACATTAGTTACAAAAATTAAAATAAATGAATTATCCTGATAATTCAATTTGCAATCAGTATTATTTAATGATTTATCAGTCTATCTCCGGCTAAAGAATATTTCGATATGTGGAATTTTCGTGAATATTATTCCAATTTATTACCTGTATAAAAAAAAAGGTCACGTTTGAGGATAAATATCGGTTTAGTTCAAATTCTTTATCAATACCGCATCTTAATTGAAAATTCAACATATATAAAAGTTTCAGACTCTTGTATTTAAGGACTTCTTTCTCCAGTCTAAAACGTAAATCTTCAAATAAATAAGCTCCACAATTTGCATGCATTCCAAAAATTTAAGTTTTTTTCAAGGTCCACGGTTAAGGGAAATGGAGTAACGTTTCATCAGTTTACCAGAAATACCAAAAAATAAAAACCATTAAAAAATTATGACGACTCAACAAAACCAAGTAGAAAAGAGTCAACCGACGAGGAAATAAACAAATAGGGTTGTATAAGAGAGAGAGAAAAAAAAAACATAAAATTGAACCGAATTTGAATAAAGGATGAAGCCAATAAAAAAATAAGTCGTAAAAATAAGCACAAGAGACAAAACCGACCTCGTGTCTCTATGAAGGATCCCTTTTTTTTCAAAAAAAGGAATCCATAAATCGAAACTCATCGACTTGCCTATTAGTTGCTTATCGTCATCGACTCAACAAAAAAAAAAATTTTCAATTCTACAATTTCGATCGGGATATCATTCCCGAAAATATAATTTGTTGATATCGTATACAAATGAAATTCATCTAATCCAGAATCGATTCATACTCTTCTACAATTGGTTGTGCTGGGTGAAAGTTTCTGCTAAAATCTCAAGAAAAAATAAGTATATAATATAATAATATGTTTTATCGCTATGATTTTTGTCATCTGCAATTTGTTGTCTAAAAATCTTCTAATCCCGACAATATCCTCTCAAACACTCTACTAATTCCATTAAATTCCACATAATATAGAATAATTCCAATTACAAATCTCATACAAAATCAATGATCCACAATTTTTTTTTTTTTTTTTTTTTTTTTTTTTTTATATATATATAAAAATTCCATAATATTCTGCAGTAAATTATCTAAATTCCCAACTAGGATCCTATCACACTTCATCGACGATAAGTAGGACTGGGAGAACGAGCACCACCTGTTCTGTAGTTTGGACTAAAAGCACGTAATCCAAGAGGCGAAGCACCGCGTCCATCTAAATATAAAAAAATTGATTAACTCGAAATTCTTAACATTGAATAACATGCAACCATTATATTTAAATCATAATTTCGTTGAAATTAATCAATTTACATACAAGGATCTGCCGAACGACTGTAAATGATCATATTAAATGATAAAAATAATATTTAATACATATTATAAAAATAATCTTTCAGAAAAATTCAAAAATTTTTTTTTTTGACATACCCATAGTCATTGGGTGTACCATATTTTTCTCTACGATGTTGGTCCTTTTTATTAAGACCAATGTCCCTACAAAATGAAATCGTTTATATATTATAAAAAAATATTAACAAATTGAAAAATGCATCTATAACATGGAGAATAATTGTAAGATAATAATTACCAATCAAGTTTTAGTCGTCGACCCTCGACATTGGTTCCATTGTATTTATCAAATGCGTCTTCGGCATCTCTTCTGTCCTCGAATTCAACAAAAGCAAACCTTTCAGACAACAAAATATATATATATATATATATATATATTAATAAAAAACCTATCGCTAAAAGGTATTTATTTCTTTTCTCAAATAATATTAGTACTTTACCCTTTGTTTCTTCCGGTATAATGGTCAATCTGAACTGTCACTTTTCGTAAACGACCATATCGTTCGAACATGTCAGCTACATCTTGTTCACGAAAAGCATATGGAAGATTACCCACATAAAGCGTAGTTGAGTCACGTCTTTCTTTGTCTGACCCACTAATTTATTGTTTACAAATAAGTATTTCTAATATTAAGTTCTAAAAATACAATTGAAAGAAATAAAATATTTACCGATCTATTGGTTTACTCCTCCTTGGAGGACCTCTTCTTTCAGAGGTGTAAGAAGGATAATCGCGGTATCCTCGTTCTTCCCTATAACCACCACCTCTACCACCGTATCCACGATCATATCTATCTTCTCTAGTATAACGATCCTCTCTATATCTATCTTCTCTTCCATTACGATAACCTCCTCTACTAGGAGAAGGGGTTCTTCTTCTAGGAGAGTAAGAGCGTCTGTAAGTGCCACCGCGAGGTGATAGAGAACGTTCTTTTCGAGAACTGTAAGGATGATTATTGCTACTAGATGAAACCTCTTGATGAGGTGGAGGAGGAACAGAATTTGAACGAGAAGTTCCGTTTTGTTGATCCATTCTATCCATTCTATAAAACAAATTCTTATTAAACAGTACTAAAAACCGCAAAATTTTCTGCAGAAGAGCTACAGATGACAAGGTTTGGTTTTGCAATAAAAAAGGGATTATAATGAAAGTAATTTCTAAATAAACCGAATGTATTTGACAAATATAGCGTTTACGTATCCAAATTTGGCTAATCAGTGCACCATTGGCTGACCCCATGTTTTCCAAATTTGTAAATTTTGTATCGGACTATTACAACAAGAGTCCGGAATTAGATAAGATAAATTCGATCAGTCAGTAAATTGACTGATCCGACGACCTTTTAGATTAATTAAAAAATATTTATATTAAATTTATGTGATTATTTGTATAATAAAAACTTTAAAACTTTATGTTTTATTATATTATAGAGGATTTTTAGGATGTATAAGATAACAAATATTTATCTTTTAAGTATAAAAAATTTTTTAGTTCTTTAAATACTTAGTAAAAATTAAATATCATATATTTTATATATTCTAAAAAAATAAAATTATTACCGTAAAATCTCAAATTTAAGCACCTACCAAATTTAAGCACCTCTATTACTTTTGTTATAATGTTTGTAAAACTAAAATTAAACACCCCCAAATTTAAGCACCTCAAATATAAAATTTTGTCTATTCCAAAAACTAAAATG